ATCAACCCATCACTCATCTTCCATATATAATCTCAACATCCAACCACGCCTGCACCCTCCATCCATCCATCCATCCATCCATCCATCCATCCACCCATCCATGCTCACATTCTTCCAACCCGCGTTTGCTGTCTATGCCTTTATCAAGCCCTAGGAATGCAACGAATCACACCTGGCCTCTGCCCACAGGAGCTTACATCCCATAAGAGGTGGACACAGAAACACAACATCATCCACTGAGCCAGAAAACTCTACTTCTTGGTGGGGTGACTTGGGTCCTGCTGCCCCTGACAGTGCTCAGCTCTGCCAGGGACTGCTAGCTCTGGAGCCACATCCCAGCCCACAAACCCATCATTTCGCCCAGACCCAAAAAGGACTCAGTCCAGCTCGGAGCCTCTGTTTTCTCATTTCATCTTTTGGCTTTTTCCCCCACCTGGCCCAGTATGTCTGCCTCTGAAGAGGAGCACGTACTGCTGGAAACGAGGGGAGGAGCAGGTCTAGAGTGCCCCAGGCTCAGAGTTCAGAGAGGTTTAGAGAATTGCAGTCTCTGAAAGCCCAGACAGAAGAGAGGACTAGTTCATGGCCCCACGGCAAATTAGTGGCTGCATCTGGATTAGGACCCTGGAGGTCTTAGACGTTGGTAACGAAATACCCTTTCATCAAACCAAATCATACTTGGTTCCCTTCACATAAAAAAGGAACTAGTCTGGTGCCGTGGACTTACAGAGAGAGGGAACATTCCTAGGGCTACATAGTGGAGTTGGGGTGAGGGCGAGGGAGGTTGGGAGATAATTGCAGGGAGATGAGGGGTACAAAAATAATTTCTGGTAACGGGTATGTCCCCAGTATGAATCTGGCCCTCACATCATGGGCAGGAGGGGTGACAATTAGCTTTGTATCTCATGAATATTCTTAATAATAATAATAAAAAGGAACTAGTCTGGTTGGAGCAGGGTGGAGCCTGCAGTGCTCTTCCTCACGGCCTCTCATTCCCAGTGGCACTCCAGGGACGCACAGCCCAGAGGTCCACGCCGTAAGGGGGACGCTGCTGGAGGTGCTTCTTACAGCATCCCCTCCCCCCTCCTCTCCTCCTTTCCCATGCTGTCCTCTTCCTGGGGCTTGGATTTGCTCAAGAACAGGGCCCCTGGGTTCAGTCTCTTCTGCCTGCCTGCCCCAGGGGTGGGGGGGTGTACCTGGCATGAGCGATGGCCGCCACCCACTCATCGCAGTCCTTGGCGTCCTCTGTCCTCAGCTCCAAGGCTTTCTGGTTCTCATGGCTGAAGTTCACCGTGAAGTAGTGCTGCACCAAGAAGAAGACATCTCTGATTACCTGGGTGTCCCTGGAACCAGCAGCATCTCCTGCTACCCATTTAGCTGTTTTGCAAAGGGCCTGCTGCCACATCAGCTGGGCACAGATTCATTATTTGTCATTGTCAGAATGCCATTCTATTTAGCACTTCCAAACTCTCGATTAAAAGAGGCTTTTGTTCAATGTAACAGAACCTATGCTTAGGATATTGTAAGAAGGAAGCAAAACCTACAAAGCCCTATTTGCCAACACATTGCAAAAAAGCCAGTTTTCAACCATCAGATACGCTGGAAGGAAGGTAGGGAAAACACACCAAGAGAACATCCCCTTTGGGAGCTGGGTATCAATTCAATGCAGCATGCATTTAATTCACTCCATAAAAATTGACCAAGTATTCTAGGTCCTGGGGTTATAGCATTGAATAAACAGACACGGTCCCTATGAGGGCCCACTGTGTTGGGTGCAGGTGACTGACTCAGAGCTGGGTCAACTGTGGGGCTGCCCCCTAAGGTCCAGGAAATTGGAGGACCAGACAATAGACACACACCTGCAATATTGCTGTATGAGTTAAATACACAGAAAGCTCTCAGAACAATGCCTGGCACCTGGTAAGCACTATGTAAGTGCTTGCTTTAATTAATGCGGTGCGATCACTACTGTAACGGAGGTAAGAGAAAAATGCTGCCTGGGTACAAAGGAAGCCACACACTGATTTAGCCCAGGGAAATCAGGGAGGGCTTCCCATAGGATGGTGCAGTGGTCCTGGTTTTGTTTCTGCTGGATGGAAGAGCGTGGGGGGCAGCACGGACGGACGTCTAGAGCACAAGGCACATTCACATTTGGGGGTGGGGCTTGGGGGATGGAGCCAAGTGCAGGGAGGGGCAGGAGGAGAGAGTGGAGGGGCCACTCCCAGGTTTCTGGTTTGAGCAACTGGGTAGGTGGGGGTGCCACAGGCTGGGGTGGGGCATTCGCAGGATAAAGGGCAGGTTTTGGGCCAGGGATGGGGTGCAGGCATGGGGGATGGGGAAGGCTGACTGAGATATGGGGGCTCTGCAGGTGAGGGATCGGTCAGAGGAAGGGTAGACTAGCAACGTGCCGTGGGACAGCCTGCGGAGGCCTTCTGGTCTGGTCCTGGTGAGGCTGGGAGGAGAGTGGCAGGGGGTGGAGGGCAGAGGTACCATCATGTCTGCCATCAGGGGATGGCACAGTGTGGCCGGCCACAGTGTGGCACTGTGACAGAGAGGGTGCCCATCCCTCCATCCCTTGGTGTCCAGGTGGCAGGGAGCTGAAGCACAAGGTGCCGTGTGTAAACTAATTTTAGCTTCTGCTGACATTTACTGTATTCCTGTTAATTGTTAGTCTAGGTGGCAGCCAGAGAGAGAGAGAGAGAGAGAGAGAGAGAGAGAGAAAGGGAAAGAGAGAGAAAGAGAGAAAGGGAAAGAGAGAGAGTGAGTTGTTGCAGAGTCAGTCTCTTGCTTGTTTCCTAGGAAACAGATAACTGGGGCTATAGAATGAAATGTCAGCTGCAGCCTCAAATAACTGAATCTGGAAGGCTCCAGTGGGCACCCCACCCCCTCGAGAGGAAGCAGGTTAAGAGCAGAGCTGTAGGTGGCTACCTAGCACTTGCCCCACGTCTCAAGAGATGATGCACACACACATGCTCATCTCCATGATCTCATTTATTCCCACATTTACCAAGTGGAACAGATATTATCTTTTTACAGCTGGTGAACTTGAAGCTCAGAGAAGTTGAGCCACTTGCCTAAGGCCCCACAGCTGTCAAGCAGAGGAGCCAGGATGACACACCTTCCCTGGGCATCTACTGCCCACTCAGGCCTTGGGGTTGGCAATGGGATGCTGAGATGGGAAAGATGAAGTCCCTGCCTCTAGGAGCCTGTAGGAGAAGAGACTCAGGGTCCTGACTCAGAAACAGGACCTCTCAGTGACACACAGGCACAGCAGAGTTTCTGGGGCCCTTAGAGCACCAAGGGGGAAGTCCCAGAGCTGGGTGGGCCCATTCATGGGACCCACGGGGCTGCAGGGAGTGATGGGCGAGACAGAGGCCCCTCACTCCTGACAGGGGCTTCTTCCAAGGTGCCCTGCTTGGTGGAGAAGCACGTGGCTCCTTGCCACCCACCCTTGGGTACTGCAACCCCCCTGCAACCTCACCTCTGCTGGAAACCTAACCCTGAAGAAGGAAGCCAGGAAGACCTCTCAGGCCTGAACCCAGTCATCAGAGACCTCTGGCTTCTAACTCGTGATGGTGCTCAGATCTCTGGCCCTCAGACCAGGCATGGGGCTCCTGGAGACTGAAGAAAGCTTGTCACAGGCTCCCCAGAGGCTTCTTCCCCACCCCCTCCTGATATCCCCACTGGCTGCTAGTCCATGCGCCCATCCACTCCACCTCTGTGTGGCCTTGCTCTGTTCCTGTCACCACTGCTCGAAGTTAGGCCCCACGACCTTTCTCCAGGGCTACTGCTACAGTTTCCCAACAAGTGTCCTGCATCTGTTGTCCTCCTTGGAGACAGTGCTCAGACCGAGTGACTGACAGTCTGGAAGTTCAAGTGGCCAGCTGGTGCAGGGGTGGGCCTGGGGGCNGCCTCGCATGACTTGAGAGCGATTTGTTCCCTTCATGCTTGTAAACCTTCCCCTGACATCTGGCTTGCACGACTGCATTGCCCGAGTGCCTGGTAGAAAGCATTCAATAAGGGAAAGTAAACTTCCATGCAGCCACTCTGAGTCATCGGCAATCCTGACATTGGGCAGCCAAATGAATGAGACTCTGCTCTACGTGGGAATCGGTAGAAACGGAGACAGAGATGGGGGTGGGGGAGCACACACAGATACAGAGACACAGAGACGGAGTAACACCCACTGGGGAAGAGCAAAGCCCACACGCACAAAGAGGAAGGGTGAGCTCCATGCTCCTGGAAGATGCTAAGAAAAACAGAGGCTGGAGAATTGAAGGAAACTGAATGAAAATGTCAGATTCCCAAAACCACGTGCAGAAAAACCTAATAAACAACCAGTATGAGGGAAAGGGAAGGTGATTGTCATCTCGTGAGGCTCTGCTGTGTGGTCAGCACCATGCAGGCGCTGTCCATGTGTCCCTGTGGGAGGGGAGGGACACGACCCCTGTTTCATAGAGGGGCTGAGGCATGGAGGGTGTGTGAGTCCAGGCCCTCCCACTGCACCCCATTGTGCTCTTCCCAGTAATGGACAAGAGCTCTCCAAGAGTTAATGCGGCAAGTGGCTTCCTGGGAAGGGGAGGAGCACTGGAAGTGGAGTCTGGTCTGCAGCTGACCCAGAGCATGGCTTGGGGCAAGTACGTCTCTCCCTGCTCGTCATCCTCAGCTTCCACATCTGTGACATAGGGAGTCAGACAAGCTGGGCTCTAAGGTCTCTTTGAGCTCCATGATATGTATGTAGAGACACACACACATATCTATCTATCTATCTATCTATCTATCTATCTATCTATCTATCTATCTATCTATCATCTGCAGAAGATGAATGAAAGACAGTGTGTGCACGTGTGCATATTCTAGGTTTCTTCCTGCAGTTCTGGATAGGCCTTGGGTAGTTTCTCATCTCTCCCACAACCCTGGGA